GGTGGTGTCTGATCTCCACCTGGTGCTGGTGGTGTAGGTGGTGTCTGATCTCCACCTGGTGGTGGTGGTGTAGGTGGTGTCTGATCTCCACCTGGTGGTGGTGGTGTCTGATCTCCACCTGGTGGTGGTGGTGTAGGTGGTGTCTGATCTCCACCTGGTGCTGGTGGTGTCTGATCTCCACCTGGTGCTGGTGGTGTCTGATCTCCACCTGGTGCTGGTGGTGTAGGTGGTGTCTGATCTCCACCTGGTGCTGGTGGTGTCTGATCTCCACCTGGTGCTGGTGGTGTAGGTGGTGTCTGATCTCCACCTGGTGCTGGTGGTGTAGGTGGTGTCTGATCTCCACCTGGTGCTGGTGGTGTAGGTGGTGTCTGATCTCCACCTGGTGCTGGTGGTGTAGGTGGTGTCTGATCTCCACCTGGTGCTGGTGGTGTAGGTGGTGTCTGATCTCCACCTGGTGGTGGTGGTGTAGGTGGTGTCTGATCTCCACCTGGTGGTGGTGGTGTCTGATCTCCACCTGGTGCTGGTGGTGTAGGTGGTGTCTGATCTCCACCTGGTGCTGGTGGTGTAGGTGGTGTCTGATCTCCACCTGGTGGTGGTGGTGTCTGATCTCCACCTGGTGGTGGTGGTGTAGGTGGTGTCTGATCTCCACCTGGTGCTGGTGGTGTAGGTGGTGTCTGATCTCCACCTGGTGGTGGTGGTGTCTGATCTCCACCTGGTGGTGGTGGTGTAGGTGGTGTCTGATCTCCACCTGGTGGTGGTGGTGTCTGATCTCCACCTGGTGGTGGTGGTGTCTGATCTCCACCTGGTGGTGGTGGGGGGGACAGGAAAATTCACATTATCGGTTCGTCAAATTTATTGACAGGTCTTGGAAAGCTGTCATCAGATCATGCGTTTTCCACGTTATTATCTATAGTTGAGTAAATGTTAAAACTCAGTTGACTCGGGCTAAACAAACATCTTTAGTGTGATTTAATGCACAGATTTGTTGACACTTCAGTGGACTAATGAGCATCAGTCTCCATCTAGGTTATGTCGCTTCCAATGCTTCTCACTACGCTAAAACACTCATTTTTTTAATAAAATCGTGAGAGGTGCTGAACTTAGTGTGTCGGAGTGATCGAGTAGATTTTTAAGAGGGAACATAAGATTAGTAGTGGGCTTTAAGAGGCCAAAATGGCGGGAAGTACCATATGGAGTACCGCAGGGCTCCGTAGTACCATATGGAGTACCGCAGGGTTCCGTAGTACCATATGGAGTACCGCAGGGTTCCGTAGTACCATATGGAGTACCGCAGGGTTCCGTAGTACCATATGGAGTACCGCATATGACGGACGCTGTGCTGACAAATGGCTGACGTTGACGGATGACGGATGCATATGACGGACGCTGACGGATGGAGTACAGCCCAGCATACAGTACAAATGCAAGATGAGGAGATTTGGCCTGAAGTTGAGGAGACTGGGATAGAAAGAAAAACGTGGAATAGAAAATGAAAAGTATGTGGGAATAGACATGACAACACATCCATCACCGAAGTCAAACATTAACAGCATAACATCAGCGGCGTGTGGAAAGCTATCGACATACAGGAGGAGCCTTCAGGTACTTGAAGAAGAAAACCATTCACAACATTGTATACAACCTATATCAGACCATTACCAGAATATGCAGTTCCAGTATGGAATCACTATTGTAAAAAGACAAAAAATACAATTAGAGAAATTTGTAGGCCTACTTTAAGACAGGTCCTTGAACGTCGAGCCAAGTCTACACGGAAAGCCTCTCAGGGAAGCTGAATCGAGAATCATAAAGTATTTACACAACCGCTTACGAAACCTGTGCATCTTTCCACAATCATGGAGGCTTTGTATTTAATCAACAGTTGACACATTCCGCGTCGCCACAAGGTTGTCCATAGCAATAATAACCTTGGAACTGTAACATTTCTCAAACTCGTAAACTGTTTAGTAAATAAAGACTAAGCCACCATTATCGAGGAAAGATGTACAGGTTTCGTCAGTAGGTACGTAAAGTCATCATGAAGCTTGGACCTTACCACGCTGGGAGATAATTTGATTATGGCAACTCTCTTCCTAACATGAGGGGACATGAGCAGGGGAGGCACGAGGGGACGTGAACAAAGACTGGACAAGGGGACGTGAACAGGGACGAGATGAGGTGACATGAATAGGGCGGAGGGACGAGGGGACATGAGCGGAGACGTTACGAGGGGACATGTATTGGTAAGTTGAAGCTCTGACGAGTTGTAAAGATACGGAGCCATAGCCGTACATAGCCGCAACTGAAAGGCGGAGCCCATGAACTGAAGGTCTTCCAACTAGTACATATAAGTGAGTACACACACACACATGAATTAAAACTCGCGTCATGAGGAGACAGAAGAGTTAGGGGAGACGTGATCACCACATGCAAAATTCTCAGGTGAATTGATAGCGGTAGATAAAGACGGACTACTTAGCACGGGTAGATTACGGGCTGCTCGTGCCCGTGTCACCTCTTGGGTGGCTTAATCTTCATCAATCAATCAATCAACACGGGTGACACTCGAACAAGGGGACACAGGTAGAAACTGAGTACCCAAATGAGCCACAGAGACATTAGAAAGAACTTTTTCAGTGTCAGAGTAGTTGACAAATGGAATGCATTAGGCAGTGATGTGGTGGAGGCTGACTCCATACACAGTTTCAAATGTAGCTATGAAAGAACCTATTAAGCTCATGGACCAGTGCACCAGTTGATTGACAGTTGAGAGGCGGACCAACGAGCCGAAGCTCAACCACAATTAGGTGAGTACAGACATGCGGGCGCGCGCGAGAGAGAGCACGCTTCATACACCCGCTCACATGTGCTCTAAGAAAAAGATTTCAATGGTCGGTAGAGGCAACATGACCGTAACCCCGGGGCGGGTAGAGGCAACATGACAGTAACCCCCGGGGCGGGTAGAGGCAACATGCCCATAACCCCCGGGGCGGGTAGAGGCAACATGACAGTAACCCCGGGGCGGGTAGAGGCAACATGACCGTAACCCCCGGGGCGGGTAGAGGCAACATGACCGTAACCCCGGGGCGGGTAGAGGCAACATGACAGTAACCCCCGGGGCGGGTAGAGCCCCGGGGCGGGTAGAGGCAACATGACCGTAACCCCCGGGGCGGGTAGAGGCAACATGACCGTAACCCCGGGGCGGGTAGAGGCAACATGACAGTAACCCCCGGGGCGGGTAGAGGCAACATGCCCATAACCCCCGGGGCGGGTAGAGGCAACATGCCCATAACCCCCGGGGCGGGTAGAGGCAACATGCCCATAACCCCCGGGGCGGGTAGAGGCAACATGACCATAACCCCGGGCGGGTAGAGGCAACATGACAGTAACCCCCGGGGCGGGTAGAGGCAACATGACCATAACCCCGGGGCGGGTAGAGGCAACATGACCGTAACCCCGGGGCGGGTAGAGGCAACATGCCCATAACCCCCGGGGCGGGTAGAGGCAACATGCCCGTAACCCCCGGGGCGGGTAGTAACCCCCGGGGCGGGTAGAGGCAACACCCCGGGGCGGGTAGAGGCAACATGCCCATAACCCCCGGGGCGGGTAGAGGCAACATGACCATAACCCCGGGGCGGGTAGAGGCAACATGACAGTAACCCCCGGGGCGGGTAGAGGCAACATGACCATAACCCCCGGGGCGGGTAGAGGCAACATGACCGTAACCCCGGGGCGGGTAGAGGCAACATGCCCATAACCCCCGGGGCGGGTAGAGGCAACATGACAGTAACCCCCGGGGCGGGTAGAGGCAACATGACCATAACCCCCGGGGCGGGTAGAGGCAACATTACAGTAACCCCCGGGGCGGGTAGAGGCAACATGACCATAACCCCCGGGGCGGGTAGAGGCAACATGCCCATAACCCCCGGGGCGGGTAGAGGCAACATGACAGTAACCCCCGGGGCAGGTAGAGGCAACATGACCATAACCCCGGGGCGGGTAGAGGCAACATGACCATAACCCCCGGGGCGGGTAGAGGCAACATGACCATAACCCTGGGGCGGGTAGAGGCAACATGCCCATAACCCCCGGGGAGGGTAGAGGCAACATGACCATAACCCCGGGGCGGGTAGAGGCAACATGACCATAACCCCCGGGGCGGGTAGAGGCAACATGACCATAACCCCCGGGGCGGGTAGAGGCAACATGACCATAACCCCCGGGGCGGGTAGAGGCAACATGACCATAACCCCCGGGGCGGGTAGAGGCAACATGAGGAAGGTGATCGAGTGCCTCACAAAGTCTTACATAATTCGCAACAAAGATTTATCAAAAGCTCATTTGTGCATATCCAGATGGAGGACAAATTTTGTATAGAACCGAAGAAATTGATCGGTTGATGCTAACGAATGTAGCTATGAGAGAGAGAGAGAGAGAGAGAGAGAGAGAGAGAGAGAGAGAGAGAGAGAGAGAGAGAGAGAGAGAGAGAGAGAGAGAGAGAGAGAGAGAGAGAGAGAGAGAAGGAAGAATTAGAGACAGTAGAAGTAATATTAGAGGTACTACGGGGTCTTCATCTATACATATATAACACTGTATAAATAATGTATATACAGGTTAATATCTTTGGAACAAGTAACTTAATTATTCCAGGATAAGAGAGAGGAGAAGAGAGGGAGCGGGCGTGGAAGTGTGAGCATACTAGGAGCTGACTTTTAACCACAGTGAGAGATGAAGGAAGTTGTTCTGGTGGTGGAGTACGATAGTCGGCTCGCTACCACGGAGGTGGCGGCTGCCTGGGCCTTGTGGCTGTTATAGAGCGGAAGGTATTCGCAGAGGGCCTTGTTAGAAGGGCTTCGTGGCGGGGGGTTGTTTGTGAGCGCACGCACGCAAAGTTGGCGGGCGCATCAGCTGGGCGGTGGCGATGTGGATGCTGTGGGGGTGACCATGGCAACGGGTGAGGGTGGCGGTGGACGGGCAGGCGCGAGGCTCAGCCCTGGTGCTGGGATCGATGGGGTGCTCGGTGTTCAGTCCGTGTGGGGCCGGGGACGCCGCTACTCCGCCCACCTGCACTGCTGCTTCCCACCTCGCCACACTCCCACCGACACACAGTAAACACGCGCACCTCCTCCTCCTTCACCTCTCACACCGTCGTCGGCGACTCCTGCAGCCATCGTCCCGCCCCGCGGCCGTGGCCGCCGCTCGCCCCCAGTGTATCGGTTCAGTGTCCCAAACCAGTGAATCAATTATTATAGGCGAGACGACCAAATAATAGTGGAAGTTAAAGCCGCTGCCGCGGTCCAGACGTTCGGAACAATGCACTGAAGGTCCCACTGACCTCGGCCGAAAATGAGGTCACAGTGGACATCTCACCTGTCCTGACATCAACCGTATATATACATATATATACACGCCTTCTTGTCGGGGAAATACAAGCCGACTTGCTCTTATCGGATCTATCAGTTTTAAAGTGATATTTTTCCTGCGGGGGGGAACGATTCTGTAATTGTTGGAGCAGTCAGTGACTTTGATGTGAGTTGCAGTACTAACCAGGGCGGGTAGGCTGCGTGACGTGACCTTTTGTTACCAGCATGGTCACTGCCATTCATTTCAGGTCAGAGGTCACTCGGCCAGGGGGGGACGCCCCGGGGATTTTTTTATTTTTTTATTTTTATGGGGGGGAAATTAAGGTGATGCCGTAACTGCCTTGGGAAGGATCCGCCTCGGGGTAGCTGTGTTTCAACAGCGGCCTCAGGGTAGCTGTGTTTCAACAGCGGCCTCAGGGTAGCTGTGTTTCAACAGCGGCCTCAGGGTAGCTGTGTTTCAACAGCGGCCTCAGGGTAGCTGTGTTTCAACAGCGGCCTCAGGGTAGCTGTGTTTCAACAGCGGCCTCAGGGTAGCTGTGTTTCAACAGCGGCCTCAGGGTAGCTGTGTTTCAACAGTGGCCTCAGGGTAGCTGTGTTTCAACAGTGGCCTCAGGGTAGCTGTGTTTCAACAGCGGCCTCAGGGTAGCTGTGTTTCAACAGCGGCCTCAGGGTAGCTGTGTTTCAACAGCGGCCTCAGGGTAGCTGTGTTTCAACAGCGGCCTCAGGGTAGCTGTGTTTCAACAGCGGCCTCAGGGTAGCTGTGTTTCAACAGTGGCCTCGGGGTAACTGTGTTTCAACAGTGGCCTCAGGGTAGCTGTGTTTCAACAGTGGCCTCGGGGTAACTGTGTTTCAACAGTGACCTCAGGGTAGCTGTGTTTCAACAGTGGCCTCGGGGTAGCTGTGTTTCAACAGTGGCCTCGGGGTAGCTGTGTTTCAACAGTGGCCTCGGGGTAGCTGTGTTTCAACAGTGGCCTCAGGGTAGCTGTGTTTCAACAGTGGCCTCGGGGTAGCTGTATTTCAACAGTGGCCTCAGGGTAGCTGTGTTTCAAAAGTGGCCTCGGGGTAGCTGTGTTTCAACAGTGGCCTCAGGGTAGCTGTGTTTCAACAGTGGCCTCAGGGTAGCTGTGTTTCAACAGTGGCCTCGGGGTAACTGTGTTTCAACAGTGGCCTCGGGGTAGCTGTGTTTCAACAGTGGCCTCGGGGTAGCTGTGTTTCAACAGCGGCCTCGGGGTAGCTGTGTTTCAACAGTGGCCTCAGGGTAGCTGTGTTTCAACAGTGGCCTCGGGGTAGCTGTGTTTCAACAGTGGCCTCAGGGTAGCTGTGTTTCAACAGCGGCCTCGGGGTAGCTGTGTTTCAACAGTGGCCTCGGGGTAGCTGTGTTTCAACAGTGGCCTCGGGGTAGCTGTGTTTCAACAGTGGCCTCGGGGTAGCTGTGTTTCAACAGTGGCCTCAGGGTAGCTGTGTTTCAACAGTGGCCTCTGGGTAGCTGTGTTTCAACAGTGGCCTCAGGGTAGCTGTGTTTCAACAGTGGCCTCGGGGTAACTGTGTTTCAACAGTGGCCTCAGGGTAGCTGTGTTTCAACAGTGGCCTCAGGGTAGCTGTGTTTCAACAGTGGCCTCGGGGTAGCTGTGTTTCAACAGTGGCCTCAGGGTAGCTGTGTTTCAACAGTGGCCTCAGGGTAGCTGTGTTTCAACAGTGGCCTCGGGGCAACTGTGTTTCAACACGGCCTCGGGGTAGCTGTGTTTCAACAGTGGCCTCAGGGTAGCTGTGTTTCAACAGTGGCCTCGGGGTAGCTGTGTTTCAACACGGCCTCGGGGTAGCTGTGTTTCAACAGTGGCCTCGGGGTAACTGTGTTTCAACACGGCCTCGGGGTAGCTGTGTTTCAACAGTGGCCTCAGGGTAGCTGTGTTTCAACAGCGGCCTCAGGGTAGCTGTGTTTCAACAGTGGCCTCAGGGTAGCTGTGTTTCAACAGTGGCCTCGGGGTAACTGTGTTTCAACACGGCCTCGGGGTAGCTGTGTTTCAACAGCGGCCTCAGGGTAGCTGTGTTTCAACAGCGGCCTCAGGGTAGCTGTGTTTCAACACGGCCTCGGGGTAGCTGTGTTTCAACAGTGGCCTCAGGGTAGCTGTGTTTCAAGGGCGGCCTCGGGGTAGCTGTGTTTCAACAGCGGCCTCGGGGTAGCTGTGTTTCAAGGGCGGCCTCGGGGTAGCTGTGTTTCAACAGTGGCCTCGGGGTAGCTGTGTTTCAACAGTGGCCTCGGGGTAGCTGTGTTTCAACAGTGGCCTCGGGGTAGCTGTGTTTCAACAGCGGCCTCAGGGTAGCTGTGTTTCAACACGGCCTCGGGGTAGCTGTGTTTCAACAGCGGCCTCAGGGTAGCTGTGTTTCAACACGGCCTCGGGGTAGCTGTGTTTCAACAGCGGCCTCGGGGTAGCTGTGTTTCAACAGCGGCCTCGGGGTAGCTGTGTTTCAAGGGCGGCCTCGGGGTAGCTGTGTTTCAACAGTGGCCTCGGGGTAGCTGTGTTTCAACAGCGGCCTCGGGGTAGCTGTGTTTCAACAGCGGCCTCGGGGTAGCTGTGTTTCAACAGCGGCCTCGGGGTAGCTGTGTTTCAACAGTGGCTTCAGGGGTAGCTGTGTTTCAACAGTGGCCTCGGGGTAGCTATATTTCAACAGCGGCCTCGGGGTAGCTGTGTTTCAACAGCGGCCTCGGGGTAGCTGTGTTTCAACAGCGCCCTGATCAAGGCCGCCGTGGCACATTTCAGTCACCCCCCAAAATCTGGGCGAATGAGTTCCGGATGTGAAAATGTTAATTCCTCATTCACTGGCTGAGGTTTGGGAGGCGTTTCCGCTCTGCCTGTCCCAGGGCCGCCAGAACGAGACTCGCTAATTGGCTAGTCCGTGATAACACAAAGTGTATAATGTTTACAACCAATCACATGATGATGTTTTAAAATTTTTTCAGACGAGATGTGGCGTTGGTAATTCAGTGTATAACTGTGTGTAATGTTTAATGTTTGCAGCTGTGGATATTTTTCCTATTTCGTTCCCAACACGTGAAGTGACGGTCGTCCTGGACGCAGGCGGGCGGTGAACGGAAGCAACTGGGAACATGAGTTAAGAATTGAGGGAGGAAGGATTGTATTTGCCGCCATTCCTACCTGTCATTCTTTCTTGCTCCTTCTCGTCTCAATTTGCATCGTTCACCGGAATACTTCCAGATCCCCGGGGGACCTCCTCACCCACTCTGGTGAGCGCTGCCAATCAACATGGGGAGGGAGGCTCCATGTCACACCCATACCTCCCTCCTAACCCCCCTCAAAATCACCCATGTTCTCCCATGTGATCATTCCCTTTCACCTAGCTCCCACTTACTCCACTTCCCTCCCACCCCTTACCCTTCTCCACCCTCCCTCTCCTCATCCCCCCACGTTTTGTGTTACTTCTCACCTCTCTCTCTCTCTCTCTCTCCTCTCTCTTCTCTCTCTCTCTCTCTCTCTCTCTCTCTCTCTCTCTCTCTCTCTCTCTCTCTCTCTCTCTCTCTCTCTCTCTCTCTCTCGCCTCGTGCGCAATGTCGCCGTTATCACGTTACCTGAGTCACGCTCCCATGGCACCTGTGTCAAGGTCGGCACACCTAGGCTGGGAGAGGGCTGGGAGGCTGGGAGGGGGATGGGAGGGGAGGCTGAGAGGCTGGGAGGGGGGCTTGGAGGCTGGGACGGGGCTGGGAGGGGAGACTGAGAGGCTGGGAGGCTGGGAGGGGGCTGAGAGGCTGGGAGGGGGGCTGGGAGGCTGGGAGGGGGCTGAGAGGCTGGGAGGGGGGCTGGGAGGCTGGGAGGGGGCTGAGAGCCTGGGAGGGGGGCTGGGAGGGAGGCTGGGAGGCTGGGAGGGGGCTGAGAGGCTGGGAGGGGGGCTGGGAGGCTGGGAGGGAGGCTGAGAGGCTAGTAGGGGGCTGGGAGGCTGGAAGGCTGGGAGGGTGCTGAGAGCCTGGGAGGGGCTGAGAGGCTGGGAGGGGGCTGAGAGGCTGGGAGGGGCTGAGAGGCTGGGAGGGGCTGAGAGACTGTGAGGGGGGCTGAGAGGCTAGGAAGGAGCTGAGAGACTGGGAGGGGGCTGAGAGACTGGGAGGGGGCTGAGAGGCTAGGAGGGGGCTGAGAGGCTGGGAAGGGGCTGAGAGGCTGGGAAGGGGCTGAGAGGCTGGGAGGGGGGCTGGGAGGGGGCTGAGAGGCTAGGAGGGGGCTGAGAGGCTGGGAGGGGGCTGAGAGGGGTAGGAGGGGGCTGAGAGGCTGGGAGGGGGCTGAGAAGCTGGGAGGGGGCTGAGAGGCTGGGAGGGGGCTGAGAGGCTAGGAGGGGGCTGAGAGGCTAGGAGGGGGCTGAGAGGCTGGGAGGGGGCTGAGAGGCTGGGAGGGGCTGAGAGGCTGTGAGGGGGGCTGAGAGGCGGGCTGAGAGGCTAGGAGGGGGCTGGGAGGCTGGGAGGGGGCTGAGAGGCTGGGAGGGGGGGGCTGGGAGGCTGGGAGGGGGCTGGGAGGCTGGGAGGGGGCTGAGAGGCTAGGAGGGGGCTGAGAGACTGGGAGGGGGCTGAGAGGCTAGGAGGGGGCTGAGAGGCTTGGAGGGGGCTGAGAGGCTGGGAGGGGGGCTGAGAGGCTAGGAGGGGGCTGAGAGGCTAGGAGGGGGTTGAGAGACTGGGAGGGGGCTGAGAGGCTGGGAGGGGGCTGAGAGGCTAGGAGGGGGCTGAGAGGCTGGGAGGGGGCTGAGAG